TACAGTATCAATAACTGAATGACGTTTGAAGCACAATTTATTACCTATAATCATGTCAGTTTATTCTCATGGCTTCATAATATGCTTTAGGTATTTCTTCGCCGTTCCTCTTGTTGTTTATTGTTATTTCCCATATATCCAGTATGGCTGTTGCGTCATTTCGATTGCACGTGTTTTGTGTGGATTCAATAAACAAATTTTCAATGAATAACTTCCCTCTCCCCTTAATTATATACTTTTTAATACATCCACTCTATTGTGTGATTATATGCAAGTGAATACATAGCGATCGCTGGAGTTTTCATTCTATGTTATTTAACTTGCATGTAATCACACAATAAAGTGGGGGTAGGGTGAATTTATTAACAAGTGAGATAGTTAGGTAAAGGGAGGGGTTATTCGTTGAATATTTGTCTATCAAATCAACACCAGACATGTGCAGTTGAATTGACGCAACACCTATACCGAATCTATGGCAAATTACAATGAATAACAAGGGGAAGAGAAAAAAAAATATATGAAGCAACTCATGAATCGATTACCAGAAAGTTAAAAATGCGTTTGTAAATAAAGTGATGGGATTTTTATGTGGTTGTGTTCTCTGAGCTGGATGGTTAATTTGCGAAGCTTTCATCGCCCTACTAGGCGACATCTTCAGCGTGTACTTCAATTTGAAGTAATGGGATTTCAGATTCTGTTTGAACGATAAATTTTGAACGGGAATATTCCCACCCTCAGTACTTCAACATAGGATGGTATGCATCTGAAGAGAGTCATACTAGGTGTCAGACTGTAAAGACAGGCATCATGCCTCCCGGATCAACTTAAAGGATAACCAAAAGTATAAGCAATTTGTATTATTATTATTATTTTACAAGAGCATTGGTTATCAAGCTAAATACGGCAGTATGTAATCATGTGTTGGTGACACAGTGGTTAGGACTCTCGCCGACCATGCACATGGTCCGAGGTGCGATCCCCTGCCGACGGACATCTGATATCTATGGTCGACCTGAAGAATTTGGGCTACCAATATCACATGCTGAAAATTCCATACTAGTAGCAAAAATACGGTGAGGAATCAAGCTGTAATCAAAAAAATAAATAAAAAAATATAAAAATCAGTTAGAGAACCATTGGAAAACCTGGGTGTACTGGACAGCTGTTTCTTCCTATTTTGGGACTCTTCATCAGTACGCATCCACCGGGATTCGAACCCGGGACCTTCCACTTCTCTAACTGATGTCAGTTCATGATGAAATCCTGTAAGCAATCAAGTCCCTACAAACCAACACTTGAATATCAATGAGATGCTCACTAGCGACTGGCCTCATTCAGGTAGGTAGTTACCTGGGGTTCTGGCAAGAAGTCATGACCAGTAGGGTGCAGCAGGTCGGGTGTGAGGACGAATACTCGTCGAAGACATTGGCTAGGGGTCGCGCTATGTCGTGAATCGGCAGAAGTTAGAATTCATGGACTGGCCATTGGATCGGGTCCTAGTGGCTTAGTGGTCTACGAGCTCACCTTGTAACCGGAAGGTCCTGGGTTTGAATTGTGGTGGTGGGTGCGCACGTCTGAAGAGTACCAAACTAAGACGAAACAGCTGTCCAGTACTCCCAGTTGGTTTTCCAATGGTTCTCTAACTAACGTTAGCTCATGATGAAATCCTGTAACCAATTAACCAAACTCCTACAAAACCAATACTTGAATACAGCAGTATATGTTATCTTTTTACTGGCTAACAATACGCCAATAAGGTTGGGTGTTTAGTTCAAAGCTAGTATTATGGATATTATTAGGTCTACATTGAATCAACTTCCAGGGGCTTCTGTCTTCTTAATCGGTTGTTGTTATTATTCTGGTATGAGTGCTATTTTTGCAATAAATAGGGGATAAATGCTGTTTGCTTCTTAGTTGCCGAATAGGAAAGTTTTTCAAAGACCTTTTTATTGAAGTATTAATTATAGATGAAAAATATTTAAAAGTATGACCGGTAGATTAGAAACTGTTCTCATTTCTTTTGTGAGTCAATTTTAATTTTCTCGTTGACTGGTTAGACCAAAATGTTTGGCCTTTGTTGACATGTTTCGACGATGTCTGAGGATTAACTTGAAGTAAACTGCTGTATGACGACTAGCAGTGGAATCCTATTGGATGGGCATTTCGTCCTATTAGGGACTCGTCACCTGGATATGCCTGCATTCCCCAATGAGTGATTGTGTTGCCAAAATTAGTTGGAACCCAGTATACATCTTTTAAAAATATGCTAACGTTATTCACACACATTTGATACTGGTCCCCTTGTAAATGACTGAACGTGTTCATTGAGACGGGAGCCTAAAAATTAAGCCGTCACTGAAGAAATAACTCCCAGTAGCTCTGTTGTTGTTCAAACACTTTTGAAAACCGTTTAAAATGTTCACAAGATAAACGGTATTCATTTTATCAGTCCATCTGCTGAGAGTATTGATAAACTGATCTCTTAAGTTAAAAATGGTGGGAAATTACGATAACCGATAAACAATTATTCGTATCTGTTTACAGGAAAAGTGTCTGATGTGATTTATGAATAACACTAGATATGGAAACCTCAGATTCTGACTTAAATTCTGATTGACGTCATCATTATTCATTAAGAAAGGAGCGGGGAGAGGAGGGAATTAACTGACAAGTTGAAAATTTAACAAACTACGTCAGTTTATTTCGAAAATTAGTCATTCATAAGCAAAATAACATCACTAAAGATTATGTCGAGACATTCATCCAGTGAACTTGTCTACAGATATTGACGAATCACTTCGCTATAATAAACAAAATAGAAAAAAGATCTTAAATATCATTTGTCGTAGAAATTATTCGTTGTTTATCAAAATAACCTTCATACTTTCTTTATCATTGTCTAGTAAGTAGCACAGCATGAAGTAGACAGTCATCATATCATAATTCTTAAATTTAAGCACATCTTTCATTTATAATAGATTTTTGAATTTGAAACAGAGTATTTTGTTTAAATTATCATGCTTATTATGGCGCCTAAACTTGAAAATTGACACTACTTAATCATTCTGTGTGTCTACTGAATGAATGATAAAATTAATTCTGAATTATATACACATTATTTAGAAACTTTAGGGAATTAATTTGTCTGTCTGTCTATCTTTAATTAACTCACAAAAGCTGTGGTGTATCACACGTTATTATTGTTAAAATAAAAATACAACATTTGAGTTATTCACTTCAGATAGATTTAATAACTTGCTAGTAAGAATACTGTGGTTTTAATTTAAGTGTTTTGAACCCTGCAGTTCATTTTGCAATGATTTCTTGTATATCTCAAGGAATCTGAGCTAAATTGAGTTAAGCAAATAAATGGTGTTGTTTCATTATTGACACGCTACAATAAAGTAGTTAGTAGCGTTAAAATGAAATAGCACAATTTACCTCTGTTAGTTAAATACGTACATCTGGATTTCTAATTTTAGCTTTTTGATGATGAGACAGTTTGGGAGGAATAGCTTTAGATGCGTAGAATACTATTTATTTAATCGGTTTTAACTGGAATTTGAAATGAAGGTGAAAATCCTATAGCCATCTTGACTTTCATCATACCTTCAGTCACTAAGCACTGCATCAAAATTAGATTTGATAAGTCTACAGGAAATATTCATCACGTTTAAATTTAACATCAGCTTTTATACGTGTTCAGTTCAGAATTTACCATGACTGATTGTATAGGAGTGAAATGCTAGATCTGTGTTGACGTGACGCCTCCTAGAGCAGAGAGAGCCACGAAATGTTGATGAATGATACTGGCTAGCATTCGTATTTAACACGTATGTCTCATCTTGTTTGAAACTTGTCAGCTGGATGAACCAACACTCCTACTGAGTTGTGGTGTCCCCACTGGGACTCAAAACCAGCACATATCGATTCAAAAGTGGAGGCGTTATTATTCAGGTTACGGGGCTACTGTCTGGCACTGTTAGTTTCACTGCTACACAGCCTTTTAGCACTCATAGGTGTTTAAAATGTTAGCAATACTTTACCGCAAGCAAACTTGGCTATGAGATACATCAAGTATGGTTGATTGGTAAGTTGCGAAACTCAGGAATATTAGATTTACCCTTTTTAGTTTAAACCTCCGTGCATCACTGGGATGTAAGCAACCAGTTAAGCTTCTACTGTTTCGCGAAAATCCGTTTTGAAAGTCAAGCTGATCATCAGATGACAGTTTCCAGAAGTCTTTGTGTCGTATTAAATAACATCCATCAGCAGACTATGGTATTTAATTCGGTAGTGTGGCTGAGTCCTTAAGCATTCAATATTGTTGACAATTTAGGGCTAATTGCATGGCTGTTTATTGATTTTCACTGTTCACCATCTGTGATTTCAGATTGCGTTATTTGCTTTCATTTTTACATAATCTGTATAGTACCTTCATTTTGAAATAAGAATGAGAGATCGGTAATCAACTGCTTCTCATAGTGTGGAAGCGTTGACTGCCGTTAGATCGATCTGTAGTCAGATTCACTTAACTGGCGACTACCTCTCAGTATTCACCTACCGGGTACCGAATAGATTGCCAAAAATATCGAGATACCGCATGCTGCAAACAGCAGAGGTTATCGCAATTCGCGTGGAACAACCAGTGCTTTGTGTGCAAAAGAATCAAATTCAGCCACTACTATTGCCCTAGCCTCCAGTAAAGACTATAAATTCATGAATTTGTATTATTATCTTTCCGAATTTGCCTGTCTGATATTCAGTATACTGTTGTGTTAATTCTAGCGAACTGTAATCCACTGAGATTATTATTGATTCGATGTTATTTAAACAACATTAATATTGTTCATAACACTAATTCATTCTTTCACCATAATGTATACATAACTGTAGAACCTGATGATGAAGTTGTCGAGAAGAGTATTCTCTGTTCAATAATCATTCTTTTGATAATTTCAATTAATAAGTGTTGTTTTTATGTTCTTTTTTGTTAATAGAAACGTTCCCATTCAGTATATGGGACACCGACAATCAGGCGATCTTGCATTTATACAGGGTAAGTAATTGATTCATTGAATTCCTTTATTTTCGCAACAGTGTTCCATTTTATTTCCATACTACAAGTCAAACAATCATAACACAATTGATTATGGATTTGTAAACAGTAATACTATTACTAAAAGAGAGTAAAACTCTACAAGTATAACAGTTACAGGTAGATTTAGGTAATTCAATTGTGAAGATATACAAACTGCAGCTTCCTTGGACTAACTCAAGTTGAAAGCACTCAGTGACAAACTTAGATAGCAAAGATGGACTGTGTACAGTAGTTAATTGACATTTAAGTAGATTATGTTTACTTGTTGTGCGTCGGTGGCACAGCGGTTAACATTCTCGTCGACCATGCACATCGTCCGGGGTTCAATCATCGGCCGACGCACTCCTTTATCTTACTTATCCAGTAATAAGACTGATAAAAAAAGGGGAGGTTAGGTATGAGGCTAGCAACCGAATCTCATAAAAATAAACACCACTGCTACAGAAACTTCAAGCCTTCAGCTTGAGGCCCTGTGTTCCACTGGGAACGTGAAGGAAATAAATAAAATAAATAATGTTCACTTGTAATTTGATAAGTCTCAGCAAAGTTATTCTATGTTGTACGGATTCTTTGGTGAAACATATTTTTATAGGGTCTCGACTGGCTTACAGTTTTCATTAAATTCAATGAAATAATCAGTGTTGTTTATCCCAGATTACTTTTGAAAATTTATCCTTTTTAACTAGTCACTTCTGCAACATAGCGGCGATCACAGTTTACATCATTTCGTTTTCAGTAAGCTGCCTAAACGTCAGGAGATAAGCGGTCGCTAGTTAGTGATAAGACTCTGTACCATAGGGTGGGGGAAATTATAAATTTACAATTTTCATAGAGATTTATTAAAAAAAAGGGTTTTATAGTTTACTCAGATTAGCTCACTAGTGAATAGTTTGACTAGATAGTAGCATAAATCGAAAACTGAAATTCAAATGGGTCTGTCTAATTTATCGACTGAAGACAGGTAATACTCACATTTGTCTTGGTCACTAGCTATCAAATTGTAGTTAAATAAAAATTTCCACATGATTTGTAATTACAAAACTGGGCAAATGACTCAGGTAACCATTGTTCAGCTAGGTGATGTAATAGTTTTCGGATCATGTCATTTATTGTTTATTGAAAAACAGTCAACGCTACTCCGTATAATCTTTCGATTGAATTAGATTTCGGTTGAAAACTCTTTTTAACGGGAAAAATGAATGCTTAAAAAATGCCCAGGAAATAAGATATTCAGTTACTAGCAACTCGGGACGGTAAAAATCTATGGTTGGAAACAATTGGTGACATGGCTCAAAATCGTTCTCAGTGGCGCAGATGCATCCACTCCTTGTGACTTATCTCCAACGAAACTGTTTTGTTTTTCCTTATTACTCCTTTGTCTCACACCTCTGCTCACTGTTTCTATTATGCTTTTCTTGTACTTTCTTCTCTTGCTTCGCGTGCTACACGGAGTGTGGCGACTTGAACTTCCGCACATATGTGCAAAGTTCTATGTCGAAAACAGACAGACAGACAGACTAGCAATCTTAGTGGATGCTGATCCGAGTCCTACTACCGCGTAGATTTCTATTCGATCTTCAATCAACACCCATTAAGTATCATTAACAGTCTATCATTGCATGACTATCTTACATAATCTCATCGTCAGTTAACAACCTGTTCATTTCTCTCTGATTGACTTCGTTTCGGATTGACAGGGGAAAATCTAGCTAGGCAGTTATTATGATGATAAATTGCGAGTAACTTGACATTCATCCAAATGACAGCTGGGCATTACATCCAGTGTTACGACTTAGTCAGTTCTTAGCTCTCATAGTTAATCTGGAAAATCGCTGCAGTAGTAATCCGAAGGCTTCCGATTCTAATCCTTCTGAGACTGAGGTTTTTATTCCACCTTCATTCATCACTCATTACAGGATGTGAATTGGCCAATTTAGAATTCAGCCTTCTGTCTACTTAAGAATTGTAGTATCACTTATGCAGCATTTTTAGGTGGATAACGGGTTGACACCACCGAGTACCAAGCAGCCCCTCTGTCCTAGATGGGATTCTTCAGCAGCACACACCGAAACCCCATTGGAGATCAAATCTAGGACCTTCAGGTTGTGATATGAGCACATTAACCGTTTAATCTTTGAAACGGAATTCAGTAGCCCATGAATTTCAACTTCTGGGGTTCTGTCCCCTATGGGGGATCTTCCATGAGCACTACTTAAGTCTCAAAGTAGGGCAAAACAGCTGCCCAATACTTCCTTGATTTCATCGGTTTACTTACTAACTAATGTAACTCAGTTATTTAACTTGAAACTAATCAAATCATTGTTAACCAACAAAGGATAATGAAAAATTATTATTTAACAATTATTATTACTGATTCTCTTACTGAATACATTTTTGGTGCTGGCTTGGACATCATGATGTCAAACGTATCACTAATTCATATGACAAGTGAACATTACTAGCGATGATTGCAGTGAAATGCTGACCTTATCAGCAGTTAGGTCACGCAGCTCTGCTGATAGAGAGCTAGACTGGACTAGATTAGGTTAGAATCTTTCCACCGACGCATGTATCATCCACCACTATCGAAGTAAATAACTACCACAATTAACAACTGTTCCATAGAGGCTGAATGCAAGTGAAATCTTGTTACGGTTTAGGGAATTGCTTTGAACATGAATTATTGCTTGAATTCGCTGCTTACTGCATAGAACACAGGGTTTAGCAAAAATATCTTCTCAGTCAGGCTTCATTATCCCCTTATATTCTGATTGGAACATAAAAATTCAACAACACTTCACTTTAGTCGGCTATAGTTGCCTATAAATTCTCATCTCTTCCTTACGCAATCTTTTCTATATCATACTTGGAGCTACTGCGAATTCCTTATCTCCCATCCGAGTTCCACTCGAAGACCTGATGCGTAATTTCATTCAACTATTTTTTAACGTGATTTTGACTCATCCACATTCTCTTAGACGTATATATCGGTTCTTGGTTGACTTGTTGCCACGGTTTTCTGCTCTTATTCCCTTTTTGACTACCTAATCTTGAGTATGAAGAGAAGACAGCTGTCAATGAGAATCTAAAGCCTGTTAGAGATGCTCTCTATGACGAACTTGCCAATTCTCTGAATAGTGTGTATAAGAATTGATTCGACATTAGTGTTGTAGCCCCAAATCCTGTTCCTTAAACTAACTGCAGCAGATTTCTAACTGACTTAGCTGAGAGTTTATGAACACTACTGGAAGCCATTAACTTATCCACCATTTCACCTCATCATTAATCTCAGTATCGACTTCACATTCGAATACAGAACAGTGAATTTGACAAATGACAATTTTGATCAATTCAATACCTAAACTGTCCTGCTTGATAATAAATCGTGCATTTGTGACTACGATGCCTGATCTCATTGAAGTTTATCGTACAGGTTTGATCAGTCGTCGTATATCTTTTGATCGAGAATGACATTGTCAATATTTTTAACTTAGAACTAAATTATGAAGGTTGGAATTCTTGTTGTGACCACTGTAGTATTTCTAGAAAATCGATTGAAGTTTGACCTTATAAACCTATGCGATTTTGAAAACATCGCAATATGATCAATAGTCTGTTGGCTTTGTTTTAACTTTTATTTGCAAGACAATTAGCATAGCCAGGTAGGTTATTGTAACTCCCACTCAGATTATACTTAGCGATGAGTGTGGCTCTTTATATATACACCACATTGCTTTAGTTATTATTTATGAAATATACATCTTATCAATCAATCAATCAATGAACTAACCAATAATGATAGATTCTTTCTTCAGAATTTTATTTTTCATCATATTTTGAGATGATGAATTGTTTACTAAATTGAGAATAGCAGGATGCCTAACTCTTGATTAGAGGTGGAGTGAGATTATGATCATCAGTCTTAGATGTATTTAAAGAATGGCTGCTGAGTACTGCCTATCAGAGACCAGTCATTCAGTAAGTCCATAGCTGTATGTTAAATGATTTTGTGAAGTTTCAAAGTCATCATTTTCCATATGATAGAGAAGATTTGTAGCTCAGGTGGATGATTTTGATATGGTTGTGTTCGGTGAGCTGGATAGTTGATTTGCGAAGCTTTCATCATCCTACTAGATGACATCTCCAGCGCATACTTCAATTCGTTGAAGTGGGCTTTTAGATTTCTCCACGAGTTTATTGGTCATCTCTCCTGGTGACCTTTGGCGTGATTGGTTGCTTTGTGTGTTTTCACACCTTCTAGGTTACTTGTATTGGAACTGATTGTTTCTTTGACTTGAACTTTGACCCTTGGTGTGTGAGGTTTCTTTCTTATCGGTTGATGAATTTTGTCTATCTCGATGTGTCTATTGATTGACGACTCACTGGAATACCAGGCTTCTAGAAATTCTCTAGCATTCTTGTTGTTTCCTCTGTCTAGTATTTGAACGTTGTCCCTGTCCAATTGATGTCCATGGTTGTGTGTATGCAGTGATATAAGGGCTAGCTTATGATCGTGTATACGAAGACGAAGGCGACGTCCACTTTGGCCAGTGTAGTGTTTTTCGCAGTTGTTAAAATTTATTTTGTAGATGATGTTGGTTTTATATTCTTTCGCTGTTCAGCCTTTTGGTTGACATCATAAGTTTCCATTCATGATATTTGGACATCATCTAGTAGATTACATCTCTTTCATTTGTTGTTCAACGACATAAAATTCGTTTATATCGCTATGGTTATCTATCTGTAGTCTGTTTAGGGTATATATGATAGTTTACATTACTAGAAGGTGAAAGGTATGGCGAGTGGGTCTTACAGTTAAGTACAAGAGTTGTTTAAAGCAGCCGGTATATATTATCACATCTTATCAGAAACGGTGTAACTTTAGAAGACGAAAACTAGGTATAAAATGTGTTTTTTGTGTTCTTTTCACGTGTCCCACGTACCTCTGCAACGCCGTGTGGTTTGCTTCCTATGACATCAAATCTATTTCCGTACTATTTGATGTTTATGCCAGTGAACATCTCTTTATACATATACATATACTATTGGTCAGTCTTATTAGTAGCACACAGCAAAACGGGCCATACTCTAAGGAATTTGTAACACTTAGAATATTGAGTTCTAAGTCTGTCAAAATAAATTCTTGCATCCGCCTATTTTCAGATCAGTTGACTTTTTTTTATAACCAACTCAATAAAGAGAAGCAGATCCACTTAGTACACAACTTTAATTACTTTCATTTGTTTGATTATTGTGCGTTTATCAAGGCATCGGTAAGAAATAGACGTCAGCTACACATACGCAGTGTTAAACACACATATTGGGGTCCAAAATCAGGAAGAAAGAGCTCAAAGAAGACAGCTTACGTTTACAGACAACATTCAGGTATGTAAACTTATGTGATTATTAGTAATCGTAGCCTAAGGTTTGGGGAGAATCGACCACTGAATACCGATTCTCTAGCGGTTTCCTGTTTTTACTCTTTACGGTTCGTTTAAAGGACTTCGAGCTTTGAAGCAGCTTTTAGCAGCGATGGTACGTTTCTTTAATGGGTATGGCTGCTAGCCTCATGCCCTCCATCTTCTGCTGGCTTACCGCCAGCTGGATATGGTTGTGTGTCCAGAGGCAATCGAACCGCTGATGAATATTCTACTGTTAGGCTACCGACACACTATTGGTTTCTTAAATCACAGTAGCCAGAAATGAGAGCTATTCTGAGTCCTAGTTTTTTTATCGAACTGGCCAAGAAGTGAAATTTGTAATATACAGTGAAACCTGCCTTTTTTCTAAAGATCATCGTTACCTACTCTTCACAACTGTGTATGGCGGTTGATACTTATGGATGAATTTAATTCACTGACTTCTCTTTTTTCCTCTATGTCGTTTACTGAACATACTGCCTACAATAAAAGTATTTGCTCCAGTGTTTCAACTGCTTACGAAAAATATCATTAATGGGCGCAAATATTTGTGAATATTGTTCAAAATGACTTAATCTCTTTGTGGATCGGATTTTATATTACTGCTGCTTACAGTTTGAGGTTTCATGAACAACGAAACTATTTACTGTTTAATGCTCATTTCTTCTTATTAATTGTAACTCTTAACTTACGTCACTGAACATAGACAAAAGCGTAAGATCAATTTTTTATAAAGACTGTCTCTTGCACAAAACTTTTGAAGCAAATCAGTCGTCGACTGGAGTGAACTGAGTGCATCGGTGGCGCAGCAGTAGAATGCTCTCTAGCCACGTCTCATATGGTCCAGGGTTCGATCCCCACGGCCAGTGGACGCACTTGTTTACCTCGCTAAGCCAGTATTACAACTCGTAAAGCGATGAGGTTGGGCTTGAGGCTAACAAACCAATAGCGTAAGAATCAACACCACCCTGTGTTCCACTGGGAACGTGAAGGAATAAAAAAATAGAGTGAACGGGAGCTGGTGAAATATAATGAGGTTTTTAAAATATTTTATAAAACAGGGGAAACAGCGATGTGTATATTTTTTCATCGCATATTCGTATTTAGCAAATGTACATGGAAAATTTAAGAAATTTTGTAGCGAAGTAAGGATGTCTTCTGGATAATCAGGTGAATAAAACAGATATTTCGGTAGTTCATTTTTGAAACGACTACAAGGTTCGATTCCCAGACGACTCAGTCCTTATCAGGTGTAGGCCTGGAAAAGTGTAAACATTCGGCCTAAGTTTACCAACCTCACTTTTTGAACACAGCACCACCGATACTAAGACTTCAAGGCTTGAATCAGTATATTCTACTTGGGACTCACTCAAACAGAAAATATATATGTGTATATATATAATTGTGGACATATATATAACCTTGTAACAACACTCAGTATGACATTATCACGTTTTAATCTCTTGCTATAGCGTATTTAGGCATAATAAAGACTAGAGCTTGATGTTCAGTATTAATAACATTTCGTATATTGGTAGGAAATGTAAGTTTTCCCAGGAAGTCATATGACAGTGACTCTGATAACGTAACACTGATCGAAAATCGAACAGTTTTATCATCCATTTCACAAAAACATATTTTTCAAAATTCTTTCGCTTTATAATCGACACTTCAATTTTTTAAGCTTTAGTGGTCATGGTGTTATTCCTCTCTGGGTGGAGTTTTTAGACCAACTTCCAACCTTCCCTCGTTTTCTGAAAAAATGTATACTTGCTCTTTATTTTTCAAAATCTTATATATTTAGTAAACTGATTTATTCAGTAGTTTAAATAATTATGCACTTTTTGGTATCTATTGATTATTTAATTTTATTGATCATGCTCATATAGATTAAATATTCAAATCTTTCATTCGAATCAATAATTTTAGATTAATTAGTCAATTTACTACGGTATATACGTAGACATGCGCACTACATAAGAATTATTTGCAACTTTTATTAAAGTTATTTTCTAATGGAAAAGAATTTTTAAAAAATCTACTTGTTAACTTTATGACTCAATTGTCAATTTGTTGATTCAATTATCCATAGTGTTCATTGTAATAAGATTAAACTAAATGAATGTTGCAGCCTCGCCTAGTTCATAGTCAGTCCTAAGCCCAGGAAACGAGAGATGATTCGGCATGGAGTTGGGGACTCTGTCCCAGAAAATCAGTTCAATCGCTGCAGAAACTTCAATACACAGACAAAATGCTCAAAAGAAATCTTTTCTTCGCTTGAACCGGACAAATTAGATTCACGGGCAACTGGAAACCTTCAAGGAACCAGTCAGCCAATATTTCTTCTCTCCACGAAGGTGAAATTAGGCCTGCGGACTTAGAATCGAATTGATAACGACGAGCTGGACGTCCAGGGGCGACGTGGGGATGAAAACTTATGGGAAACTTGGAGGCATAAAACTAGGATTGCAGAGAACAGGATGAAGTATTGAAGTGGTTTTCGAGTCCATTGTCCTCCGTGAGACCGGAAGAGACAACAAAGATAATAAGTATATGTCGCAGTTACGATATAGAAGTGGATTTGAACCCTCTTGATATGATCCGTCATATATATATATACATATATATATCCATGTTTGACTAACATTATAAACAGCCCGATCATTGTCAATGTCTTTTGAAACCCAGTTTAAAGATACACCCTACTGATAGTCAGACGGAAGAGTCGAAAAACACCAAGGTCATTTATGTATATCATCAATGTTTTAGCCTTTAATTGTGGAAGCAATCGACCGCATGTTATACTTTTTGTTAGTTTCTCATATATCTAAAGATCTGATGTTATGAAGGAACCATCAGTTAAGAATGTTTTAATAATCACTGTTGCCAAGAAAGCTTGTTGAGGAAGGCCTTGTTGACTGAAAGGCCTTATCTCTGTTGTGATATCGGTTCCAGGGATGGACGCTTTGATTTGGTCTTTTGGTTAACTTGAAAACCATTCTGCTGACGGAAAGTTCGAGATGATTTCAGTAGTCGAAAAGTGGTATTCGCTGCACTCAGATGTAATGACCAAAACCCATTCGTTGTGACGTAAACGCAGGAAACCGGTCTTTGTGTCCTACTTTATGGCTGACGCTTTTGTTGAATATCACTGGTACTATTACTCATATTGTCTTGTTTCGATACTTTTCGGATAGTTTTGGTCTGTGAGTGAATCGCAGAAGTTTGGTGATCTATTTATTTGGAAATACACATCCAGTGGTTCCTGCGTTCAAACCAAAACACTTGAGTTTTGGTCACTGATGCAAAACAAAACACCCAGTTCAGCAAAGAGTCTCTTTTCGGCGAATTCATTTTCTTAGTACAATAGTAGAAATGGTTGAGTACATCTCTTTTGTATGCACGGTTTGATGGACCTTTCTCGAGGCTCGCCACGAAAGCGTCTGATAGTAGCGAACCCAACGGAGATCGCATTTCAATACCATCTTTTTTCTATAGGTGGTGTCGTTGAAGGTGAACTGTACGTTTAAAGTGCATCTCAGTAGTAATCCCTTCAGATATGCTGTTGGCATTCCAATGTTGAGATGGTTCTCATATATATACATATATTAACATATGAAGCAGACAGTTTACGTGAGTGGGACATTTTACGATTTTACAAAAGATACGTAGATGACATATTCATTATTTGTAACAACAGTAATGACCCCAATCTACTGGTTCAGATATTTAACTGTTGCCATCCAGCAATAAATTCGCTCTTGAAACGGAAAACGAATCAAAAATTTCCTTTTCTTGATGAGGAACTAACAAGAAGAACTGATGGGACTTTAAGAAGAACGATCCATAAAAGAGCTGCTTGGAGTGGTCAACTAACAAGCTTCTATAGCTGGGTACACATTCAACAAAAGCGGAGTTTAATTAAGTCACTTGTCACGCGCATCCGACACATCTGTAGTCCCGACGTTCTGAAAACAGAAGTAGATATTCTAAGAGAAAACTTCATCAAAAATGGATACCCAATAGGATTCATCGACAAAAATATGAAACCGAGAATTCGGAGAAACGAAACTTCACTTTCACCGAAAAGAAACTGTGCATGAGCTGGAATTTCAAGGGAGACTTAGCAAGCAAAATTCTCAAGAGAAGAATCACATCATCTGTGCGAAGAACATTCTTTGGAGTAACGCAAAGAATAGTGTTTTACAGTCACCTGGTGGTCTGCAGAAGCCTTAATGACGAGAACTCGCATCTGACTACTAGTGTGTGCATATATCAGTTCACTTGCTGCTTTGGATTCGGGTACATCAATCACCCAACGCGCAACTTTTCCAAGAGGATTCAAGGACACTATCCAGCATGGTTGTGAAAAGGCGATAGTAGTGATATAAAGATTGCGAAAATTGACCATCTGATTAACACTGATCATTCTATCTCAACAAACGCCTCTTTCAAAGTAATATACAGAGTCAAGAATAACCTACAAAAGACAATGCGTTTTCGTCTTCTTCGTATTGCTGAAGCTGTGGACATTCACACAGAAAAACCGGAGCTGTACATACAAAAGAGAACTGCTCAACCACTTCTAAGAAAATGAATTCGCCGAAAAGAGACACCTCGCTGAATTACGTGTTTAGGTCAGTACACATCTTTGGCGTTTCGAAATGTAGATGCAGGTATATCCACATGATTAGTTCTAAATAGGTTGATGGGTGTGTTGTTATTTCTTCTGACAGCCAACATTAATCTAATGATACTGAAGAATATCAACATAGACATTTTATCTAACTGATTCGTCGAAAGCAGGGATAACTTTGAAAAAATGCAAATAACACAATATTTTTCTAAGTAATGATGGGACGATTTTGCTGCTAGGTTTTTAATTTACCACCTTACCAGAAAAACCTGCAGATTACTAAGAAACACACTTTTGTTTTCCAACTATGTGTCTTTGTGGGATTGCAG